TATATATATATATATATATATATATATATATATATATATATATACATTTATCTTCTTAAACACTTTCCTTTTCTTAAATCTAATAAATAATACTTGTGAAAAGTCGTTTATCAGTACAACAAATAAAACAAAGTAATATCTGTTCATTTTAATCATAAAATGTATATTTCTGTAGTCGCCGTGCGCTCGGGATCGCGCCAGAGATGTCGCTTCCGAACGGCATCTCTGAGCGTTATCTAGGAAGGGGAGAGTGTCGTGAGCGTGAAGCGTCAGGTAGCTCAGTAGTTTAGAGCAGTCGCCCGGCAAGCGAAAGACCCGGGTTCGAGTCCCGGCCTAGTAAGACCGCGCTCTCGATATTTTTCTTTTTCTGGAACGAAAAAGATATGCAGATCTCGAACGCACGGCGTCCCGCCGCCACCTAGTATGCCCTCCTCCTTCTATGGAGCCATTAAAGTTAGTTTCACTAGGGCCGAAAATTATGATGGGCACAACCATCTAGCACTTTTGTAGTTTATGAGAACTTCTTCTAATGGATCCTGCACACAGGACGTGGTAATGCTTTTCTGCGCGGCGGACGTTCGCGCAACAGCCAATCAATATATTATTTTTCCGTAATGGCTCCTGCACACAGGACGCGTTAATGCTTGCCGCGCGGCGGAAGGTCGCGCGACAGCCAATCAATATGTTGTTTTTCCGTAAGAGCTAGAAGGTTATTACGGAAAGCAGCATATTGATTGGCTGTCGTGCGAATTTCCGCCGCGCGGAAAGCATTACCGCGTCCTGTGTGCAAGAGCCATAAGAAATAAAGAATGCACATTCGACATGGGAGCGGTGCACTTGGACACGGTGCATTTGGACACAGTCAGTCACAGCACCGTATGATTAGAGACATTTGTAGGGTCCCTTGGAACAGCGACTTGTGATTGGACTGTGTCCAATTGCCTCGTGTCCAACTGATATACACCCATTCGACATCAGGTAATAATTTCGTAAAATTTCACGATAATATCCATATTTTTTTTTAACGTATGGTAAAATTATATAAACTATCATGTAAGAAATATGAAGTATAAAATATAATCCTAATTTAAAATAACATGTATCCTAATTTATTTATAAGAATTCTGTTTATATTATTTATATATGTGACGGAAGTTATAATTAAACTTACGAGTTTGAAATTACGGTTTGAAAATGATTTATTTATTAATATTAAGTATAATTAGTTGTAAGTAGTTATAAGTGATTACGACAACCAATCAGAGTAAAGTAATCAGTGAATAAAACATTCGGATTGGTTGACTCTTATGTTCACGACTACGCTTACGCAACTGTAGAATGGGCTTTACGTCTCACGTAACGTAAGGTTGTCACGTAAGATAGCGTAAGGAGCAACGGCAATGTTCGTGCGCTGCGCCTAATGACTCCTGCACACAGGACGCGGTAATGCTTGCCGCGCGGCGGAAGTTCGCACGACAGCCAATCAATATGTTGTTTTTCCAAAAGAGCTAGAAATTACGGAAAGCATTATATTGATTGGTTGTCGCGCGAACTTCCGCCGCGCGGCAAACATTACCGCGTTCTGTGTGCAGGAGCCATAATAGTGTGTTCGACTGGTCCTGGGTTAATCGCTCCGAGAGCGATTAATGACGTCATAAGTCTCTACTGGCCAATCATAAAGCTTATAAGTACTTGTTCGACCAAAAACGTAGGCTGAGTAACCCAGGGCTGGTATTCCGTTACCGTAGTTCCGACAGTTGTCGGATCGGTAGGCGTCGTTGCAATTTTTCCACGGTATAAAAAAGCTGCGTAACGACGCCTACCGATTCGACAACTGTCGGTACGCGGGAATAGTAGCCCAGAGTGGATTAACCCAGAGTCAGTCGAACATTATAACTCTAATTGTCGTAAACATCCTGTGGGTCCGTTCTTTTATTCGCAACAGATACAACCCGATGCATCCGATGCATAACTTAATCGTTCTGTATATCCAGTTGCGCTCATTAAGTTGCAGACTGTGTACATCTTGACCGTTCTTTAATTTAAGTTGCAAGCAAAATCGTGCAATTGCTTGCAACTTTTACCATCCCAATCCAAGTGGCTGCCGAAAAATTGTAGCCTGAGTTCCGAATGTGCAGAAACCTTAAGTACGAATACGGTTCTTTGGTGTGCAGAAAATAGTGTGTTTTTCAGACAGCACACAATATTTATGATAAATATTTATTTCAAATTATTTCTTAAAAATATTATATAAGTATAATATAAATATTTTATATACATGAAGGAAAAAGTATCAAAATCTTTTTTGAAAATATTATTAAAATACAGACTAAATATTTTATACAATATTTATAGTAAACAAAAAATAAATATTTTTAGTAATATTTTGTAAATATATTTATTTACAAATATTATATATGAAAAAAATAAATATAATTATTGAAAATTATTAAATTAATAAAAAAAAATAAGAAATTCGAATCTCAGCAATGGTAAGCAAATTTTCAAAGTATTTTCAAAGTATTTTAAAAGTACAATTTAATTTTAAATACGTAGCGTGTGAAACAAGAAAATGGAAATTTTAAGAAAAATTCAGAAAAAGAGAAAAATGTATGTAAATGTATATATTTTAATAAATATTTTTATAATATTTTTGAGATAAATATTTTTCATCTATTGAATCTAAGGTCACAAAAATATTTTGTAAATATATTTATGAAACATTTTGGTAAATATTCATAAAATATTCGAACAAATCTTATACATATTTTGTAAATATTTTACAAATATTTTGTGCTGTCTGGGTTAATGGATGAAAAGGATAGAGAATAGTTGTAATTGATGTAATATGTTCAATAAATGTACAAAAATGTGTATTAAATATGGTCGAAATATTACAATCTTAATAAAGAAAGACATAACTGCTATATAACATAGAAATAACAAGAGTGTTACGTCTTTGTTATATAACAATAATATTTTGTGTTTGCTGGGATAATTGTAGTAAAAAATATGGAAAAATTAATTTATTAATGAGTTGTAGATGGATACTGCAAATGTGGGAGCTATTGGAGGTTTGTTTGTAATAACAGCATCGGAAATTAACTCTGAGCCCACACAGCAGGAATGTCCCAAATACATCATAGGGATATCTTGAAGATATCACATATCCCAAATATATCTTTAAAATGTCTCTATGATATATTTTGGATACCTCTGCTGTGTGGGAGGTCTCTTTATACTCTAATAACTGGCCATGTTCCATGTACTAAATCGATTTTAATTAATGACATTTTTTATATTATTTAATATTATTATTAGACTGCCTCTCTCTTTCTTTCTCTCTCTCACAATTTTTATAAAAGCAATACTGATATATTACTGATTGAGACCCGACGACGGATATACGACGATCCAATAGCCAATAGGAAAATTTGTTTTCTTGGGACAGTACATCACTAGCTAGTAACCTGTGCAAAAAAGTAAAAAGTGCAATCTTGATGCATCACGAGATGCATTCAGCTACATCTATTGCAAATAAAAGAACACAACCTGTGTGTCACGGCTTTAGGGTGCCGTCCCATTGAGCACGGATCGGAACGCCGGATCGGATTTCTTACTATAATGAGCGTTCCGTTCTCTAGTTCCGTTCCGTAAAAGTTTCCTCTACCAGTCCCATGTAGCAAAAACGGAACGGAATGGCGCGTCGGTCGCAAATAAATATGATTAATTCGTCAATATTTCGTTATTTTGACGCGACAGAATTAATTATATACATAATTTATGCAATTATCTTGCCGATAACATTGTCATGAATATTCTAAAATATTTAATTGAAGAGAGAAATATATTTTATAACTAGAAATCCGTTCCGTTTTTGCAACATGGGACTGGTAGAGGAAACTTTTACGGAACGGAACTAGAGAACGGAACGCTCATTATAGTAAGAAATCCGATCCGGCGTTCCGATCCGTGCTCAATGGGACGGCACCCTTAGCGTGCTCCCCGAACGCACGCAGAATGTACTAGTTATTTTACATCTACTTCTTCAGATGGCGCACAACAAAAAATATCCTAAGTAACTTCTATGTTATATCACTCTCAAGTTTGTCTGCTGTCTACCGTTTCTCACCACCCGTCACTGGTGACAGCTGTCATAGGAGAAATATGTTTTTAAGCCGATTCATCCACACGTAAACATACGTAAACAATTGTTTTGTAGCTCTCAACGGTCGTCCTAAAACAACTTTCGTCTTGACATCTCATCACATCTCACACGATTACTATTCAACCTGCTGATCGTATATTTTTGGCGTTTCAATCGACAACATACGCGGTAAAGGATGACAATGGGCGATGAGACCCCAGTTACATCACTGGTGCTTCCTGTCATATTAAGACCGATATTAACTAAGGTAGTATCATCTGTTTAAACTTTATCTATACTTTTACCTAATAATATTTCTATGCAAATCATATCTTAAATCATATAATACTTTATTTTGTACTGCTAATGAAAAATTAGGATTTTTCTAGATCATTAGATAATAGTAAATAAATGTTGAATAATTTTTGTACTGTTTTTATGATTATTTTAGCATATGTCTCAGTCATATTGTGTATTTCCCTCTCTGACAATAATTTTCTTGTCAACACTGCATTGAAGTGTTTGATTATAAATTTCTATAGCTGGAAAGACTAAATGTGATAGCTGCACAAACTTTACGTGCAGCTCTCTTAAAAGCAGAAAGCTCACATCCTGGGATCACACACGATTTAATTTTGGGTATAATACGCAGGGCAGAACTTAATCTTGATATGAATGAGAGTGTTTTACGCTTACAAGGTGCTGCCTCTGATTATGATGGTAAACAATACAATAATATATATACATATATATATATATCTCTCAATTATAAACTAATAGTTATATATTATATAAATTTAGTATAAAAATTAGTAAACTAAAGTAAATTGCATATTGCAATAGTATTATTTTAGCCAATATCTCTTGGTTTGAAATATGTGTTTAATATATGTTCATTTACCTCTATGTGGTTGCAGTTGTAGAATATCGCTCAGCACGTTCGGAGGATGCATTTCAAGAATTAAATCGTAAATCGACTTCTTTAAAAAGAATTCTCAGCAGGATTCCTGATGAAATCACAGATAGAAAGACTTTTCTGGAAACAATCAAGTACAATATTCATTGTTTTCATACATACATTTATAAAAAATATATGTACAGATTGATTACCTTTTTTGTTGTATCTACAATATATATATATACATATATACACACATGCACAGGGTGTCCCAAAACTGGTAGAACATCCGTTAGGGGTAGATAGGGGGTGCAATTTGGAATTGAAAGTTACTTTTGCATTTTTGGATCCCACAATTAGTTAACGAAATATTAATGAATTAAGTCTGCCAATTTCTTATCGTCCCGAGTGAGCGCTTAGAGACGTAGAACGCTGTGGACTTCTCAGGAGTCCTTTTTGTCCGTTTGTCTCCGCTTTTTGTATCATAAGGGAATAAATATGGATGAGTGAGTGAGTGGATGTGTGGGTGAGTGCCTGACCGGACTAGGAGGGGAGAAGGGGTGGCAAGTTTTCTGTATGTGGAAGTAATGTGCGGGTGTTTTTGTGTGCGATTATGAGTGCATGGATAATTTGAATGTTTTTAGTGAAAATGGGCGGAATGATTGCGCTTTATATGCCGGAGGGGGAGAACATGTATGATATGCTTCCTTCGAGTACGTTGATGACTTGAATGTTTTCTGCATGTCGGTGGTTGAGTACCGTGAATAATTTTAGTGTGTGTGTGTGTATGAGGGGTAGGGGGATGGGGAGTGTAAGTGATTTTCTTGCGTTGTGTGTATGAGGCACATTACTCCCACATACAGAAAACTTGCCACCCCCTCCCCTCCTAGTCCGGTCAGGCACTCACCCACACATCCATTCACTTACTCATCCACATTTATTCCCTTGTGATACAAAAAGAGGAGACAAACGGACAAAAAGGACCCCTGAGAAGTCTACAGCATTCTACGTTTCTGAGCGCTCACTCGGGACGGTAAGAGATTGGCAGACTTAATTCATTAATATTTTGTTAAATAATTGTCGGATCCAAAAATGCAAGAACTTTCAATTCCAAATTGCACCCCCTACCTACCTCTAACGGGTGTTCTATCAGTTTTGGCACACCCTGTATACACACACACACACGCCACGCACGCGCACACACACACATAAACACACACACACACACACACACAGGATGTGATAAAATTGTGGAAATTGTCGAATATTTCCAAAAAAGCATTTTTTAGGAAAATGTTTCAGACAAAAGTTATAGAGTTTCAGAAGATCTATTTAATGGCCATATCAGTTTTGACCTTGGGTGGCGTCGTCAAGGTCAGGTCAAGCTCATGTCAATTTTTTTAAATAGAAATCCCCATTTTTTATTGCATATTCTCGTATCTTACCTCGAGAGCTTTTCAAAACACTATAATAAAGTATTTTTTTTCAGTACTTTTCGAGTTATAAGGCTTGAAATTTACAGTATCGACAACATTACCCAATGTGTACGACGCAGAGATTGCCCAGTCTTACCTCTTTTGTATTTTGCGTGTTTACGTAAGTACGTGCATGTGTATTGTTTTTAAGATACTCTTATAAAGAACAATGTAAAGTTATTTCCTTGGTACGCTGCAAATTTTTGTTATTTGCTCTATTATTAGGCAAGGGGACTCAAGGGTAAATCAAGCACCACAAACATGAGAGGCAAGGGGACGTAAGTCAAGCACCCCAAACGTGAGAAGTAAGGGAACTCACGTAAATCGAATATCCCAAAACGTGAAAGCCCCACCACGTCGTTCATCCTGGGTAATGCTAAGTACGAGGAAATGTCGGTGGTATTGTAAATTTCAAGCCTTATAATTTGTAAAGTACTTAAAGAAAAATAACTTTATTATAGTGTTTTGAAAAGCTCTCGAGGTAAGCTACGAGAATATGCAATAAAAAATAGAGATTTCTATTTAAAAAAATCGACATGATCTTAGCCTGACCTTGACGACGCCACCCAAGGTCAAAATGGATACAGCCATTAAATAGATCTTCTGAAACCTTACAACTTTTGTCTGAAACATTCTCCTAAAAAATGCTTTCTTTCGAGATATTCGACCGTTTCCACAATTTTGGCACATCCTATAGTGTGTGTGTGTACATACACACACATTATAGGGTGTGCCAAAATTGTGGAAACGGTCGAATATATCGAAAAAAAGCATTATATATATATATATAATGCCAGAAAATCTTTCTTGAATAATATTTATCATTTAATGTGAAATGTCTTTTTCAGAGAAATTGCAAGTGCGATAAAAAAACTTTTAGATGCTGTGAATGAAGTTACTGCATTTATACCTGGTTCAGCTGGCAAACAAGCTTTGGATCAACGCAAGAGAGAATTTGTGAAATATAGCAAAAGGTTCAGCAATACGTTAAAGGAATATTTCAAAGAAGGGCAGTAAGTAAACAATCTAAAGATAGTCAACAATTTTATTTGTAAGAATATATAAGATGTCTTATCTTAATTAGTGCACTTGAAAATCTCTGGAACTAAGTGAGATATTTAGATCTTATTTTTTAGAAATTGTATGGTTGAAAAAATACAATTAAAAAAAGACTTTGGACTGCTTTATTAAAGTCATATTAACGTCACTTTAAATTTCTTAAATAGAATAATATGATGTTTCTTAACATAAATCAATTCTCCTTAGGTCATTATGTGTGTAGAAAAATATTAAGATAAAATCACCAAATAGTAAATACTAAGATATTTTATATTTTATCTTGATAATTTATATAAAATATCTCGTTATTAATTTTTGATGGTCTTAATATTTTTATAGTAGAATAACAAAAAGATGATATAAATCTTTGCACACTGGTGCTTCAATACATTTGTGAAATTCAATACAAGTTTTCTATGTTTCTCTGTTTCTTTCCTTTTTACAATAATCTATATCACTTATAATTCTATGGAGAAAAACACTAAGATGAGCTAAAAGGTGAATATACATTTGTGAAATTCAATACAAGTTTTCTATGTTTTTCTGTTTCTTTTTTTTTTACAATAATCTATATCACTTATAATTCTATGTAGAAAAACACTAAGATGAGCTACAAGATGAATATTTATCATTGAAAAATGAATATTTATTGAATATTTATTATTGAAAAATGAATGACTTGAGGAATTTATTTACGCTATAAAATATATTATTCTATAAAAAAAATTTAAGTAATTTTTTGTGACTAATAGAATAATGTCAAATTTTTTCAAAATGTGTATCAACCATTAAACCTTGAAAAATGATCTCAGTATTTCACTTTAATTAGGGAATATTTAAATGGATTGATTAAAATGGCACATTCTGTATATTCTCTTACAGTTCTCTTATAGTTTAATTTTCAAGTACAATTTATTTATATTTAGTTGTAGCAATTTATTTAATGAATAAAATAGATATACTATTCTAAAAATAAAACAGCGAAAGGGAATGTAATAACATCAAATAAAATGAACAAGTAATAACATCAAATAATGTAATAACATCAAATAAAAGGAATAAGTAAATAAATGCTATCAATCATAAATTAAAAATTGAATTTAAATTATTTATATATTTATCGCAATATAGTAGTATTTATATATTTATCGCAATATATATCTTTTGCAGAGCAAATGCAGTATTTGTGAGTGCACTGTACCTGATACATCAAACAAACATGATTATGCTCACAGTAAAGGATAAATGTGAGTAAAACATGATATTATAATGAAATCTCAGAAGTTGTATGTGATATCTGTCACACAGGAGTCGAATTATATTAATATTACAACCTGCCCAGCATCCTAATCTTATATATTCTATTATACAGACAATATGTGTGTGTGATAGAATTAAAATATTCGATATAAAGAATTTTATGTCATTACGTTCACATGGTAATTATTTCACCATAGTTTTTGTTATATACGCTAGATAATGTGTTAGCGCATATATTAATACAATAAATATTATATATTTCTTATGTTAATGTTGTATATAACACACACAGAATCATACATATATATACACAAATAAGATGTCTAACAATTCAAGACCCAACGTCCGTGTGAATCCCAACAATTCATAGGATCAAAAAAGTTCAGATAAACAGAACATAGAAACAATGCTGAACATAACATTAAAATATTTAATGTTATATTTTGTGATATTATTGTAAATAGTACAACATTTTTAAAATATTGTTTTAAGAAATACCCATTTATTATACCATAATTTTAATGAAAATGTTTATTCTCTACTTATTAATACAATAATTTCGGATTAATTACGTTCTCTTCTTGGCAAAAGAATCAGCAATTTTCATAGTATCAGGTTATCGTCGTAATATTGCCCTAATTTTTATAGCTATGGCAGATTATTTCTTTTATATAGTGATAAAATTCTTGTTGTATAAAGACGCATCTTTGCGTACTTGTGTTAATCATTAAGTAAATAATATACCGAAATATATCTATTTGGTTTATTTTACAAATTTCACAATAATTTTTAAGGAATTAATTAAACAGTATAAGCAAGTGAGTGCATATAAAGCAGTAAGATCAATTCTGTAGGCATAATTAATAAAAGATAAATTCCAGCTTTTAAGAAAGATGTTTTCTTTTAAGATCTTTTAGCAATAATGTATAATGAGAGACTAAGTAATGCGACGTGTAAGAGTTGCTTACTGGGAAAAAGCACATCTCTCGCTATTACGGAATTCTAAAAAATAAGAAATCTTTTTTACAAACTAAAAGCTATCTTTCATTATACATATCTACAGAGTCTATCCTATCATTTGCTATGTGTTTATTCGTTAGTGTGTTTATATTGTGTTTATTCGTTAGTTATGTGTTTATATTGTTTAGTTATATTCTCAATAATTATTATAAAATTTGAAGAATGGTGATTTTCTTATTCAAATTGATTTGTTCTATCTGCATACAAAGGATACGTCTTGAATCGTTAGATATCCTGTAACTTCTTATATATACCAATAAATACAATGTTGGAGAGAGAGAGTATATATTATTAAAAATTATTTATATTTTTATTTTGTGCCAATTCAGATGTCAATTCTCCTTGTAATAATCAATGATGATATGTATAAGGAAATTTTTAGACGCGAGGATTTATTATTATATTATTATGAGATTTTATTGTTATATATGAAAGTATAACGCATCATATATAATAATACACACCACACCACACACACACACACTCTCTCTCTCTCTCTCTCTCTTTATTTTTTCACAACTTTAAGGGGATGCTGAAGTGAATGACTAACTTGCTAAGCGTCGATAACGTAGAGGCGATCGTCAAATAGGCGCTGACATAATGCCGCTATTTTCTTTTTTTCATATATGCGTCATTTCTACATATAGATATATAAATGCAAGTGTGTGTGCTACGTTGTCATTTCAATTTTCTTACATATAGGCGTTACGTAAATGTGAATGCCACGTTGCCGATATTCGCATTCTCTCCGAAATAAATTTTCGCTGCTTTTCTGATGAATTCTTCAAACCGCCTGTGTATTGGGTGA